CCCGACCCTCTCCCAAAAACCCAACCATTTCCCAACAGCTCACCATCCCTCCCAGCCCAGCAATACCTGAAAACCTCCTCCACCCCCATAACCCAGCAATATCTGAACACTTCACTAACTCTGCCAACCCAGCATTACCCCACCACCTCCCCCACTCCCGTAACCCAGCATTGCCCCAATACTTCATCAACTCTGCCAACCCAATATTATTCCCCCACCTTATCCATCTCCGCAAAAATGGAGGGCACAGCTTCATTGACCAGACGACCAGCCAATCACTACTCTGTACCAATGCCAACCACCAGACAGCAGGCAGTTGTAGCATCGAACACCAATCAGCACGCAGCGCCAGGTTTGTCGACCAGTCAGCATGGAAGTGTTGACCTTCTCTCCTGGCAGCTCCAGTCACCACCTCGTCAGCTGGCAGTAGGCTCAGGAACCATGGCAACCGCATCCTCTACCCAGCAACCGGTGCTTCCCGCCCAGGTGAGGAAATGCAACAACTTGAGTTGTGTTATCATCCTAGTCTCTGTAATGTTGGATAAATTAGATCCCAGAGTGAGATCTGGTTTGATAAGTTTTACTTCTGCTTTTTGTTTACAGTCACTGAATGTCTTCACAAGAGGCTGCCAATGTACCTTAACAAAAAAAACGTAAAGTTGATTACATGAAAAAGTAAAAGAAAACACCAACTAAATTACATAATACAAGAACTGTTTGAAATGTCTTGTTATAAATAATTTTTCAACACTTTTACAGTGAACAGCTATCTTACAGAATACCCAAACCTTGGCGTAGTGTTATCCTTTCTTCACTTTAATATTCCTTGTTCCAGAACTTTCTTCTTACTGTCTTCTATGCACATTCAGAGCAAACACACAGGCTTTTCATACCCTCAGCTTCAGCAGTTTTCAATTTCTGGACTGTTTTCTCTTAAAACTCTCAGGAGTTTATGCCACCCCCTGACCTTGATGGAGACAGCTGAACTAAAACCAACTTTTTGCTTTGACTGAACCTCCTCACACTGCTTGACCAGAATTGTTCTGTCTGTCTTTGATGCTGGGCTCTTGTCACTGGATAAGAGCAGATTGTTTATCTTGACCTTCTTATTCTCTCATACACTGAACTACTCACCTCAGGCTCTAACCCAGGCTGTAAACCCTCACAAAAATGTATATATCCACAAACTTCAGACATCACATAACAAATATAAAATGAAACCATGGCTACTTAATGGCTTCTTAATACACGCAATATAGACATACAAGTCAAACTTAAAGCTACACATCATTTCTCCACTTTAGAACCCAAATTTCCATATATTTATGGATCTTAATCACAATTGATATAAAGCCTTCATGTTGCAAGATGTCCCAAGGAGCATTCTAAAACAAAATACAAATTTTAGCCATTCAAGGCGATATGAGGGACAGATGACTAAACCCTCATTCAAAGGGGTCAGTTTTAAGGAGTGTCTTAAAGGCAGAAAGCAAGGTAGAGAAGTGCAGGGAGAGAATCCCAGAGCTTGAAGCTGAGGGAACTGAAGGCACAGCGAGCAATGGTGGTGTGATTCAGCTTAGGATTGCACCAGAAGCCAGTGTTCGAGGAGTGCTTGTTGTGCAGGAGGAGATGACCGGGACAGGGAGGGACAAGGCTGTAGACGGGATTTGAAAACATTGATAAAAATAATTAAATCAGGCGATTGCTTGCCCATGTGCCATAGAAGAAAAGTTGATGAATTCACAATAACACCCAATGCACCTTCTCGGGACAATTCTAGATGTTCAGCTGGGCAGCAAGACCCATGTCCTGAGAAGAAATGTACAAAATGGAGTTGAATCCACTCTGGAATGTTCCATGAAAAGCCACAGTTGTAGTTGAAGGAGCTTCCAAATAATTTTCCATTTCACAGAGGGGACAAACATGTTTCTTCCAGGGGAGAAAGCTGGACTGACAAACTTTTACCATCTTATTTCCAAAATCTACAAACTGGACTGCCCTTGCTGAATCCTTTCAGCCTGTTCCTGCCCCCACTGAGCTGCTTTTCTCATCTTGACTTTTCCCTCCTTATCCAGTCTCTCCCCAATTTTGTCTGTGATTTTTCTGACACTTGTGGCGGTTCCACAATTTCTAGTTTACTGATCCTAGCCACGTCCTCTGCAATCCCCGCTCCTCGCCTCCCCCCCCCTGCCCCCAACCACCTCGCGCCCCCCCCACGACCCTCTATCAGGATGGCCTGAAGGTTCTCCACTTCTTCCAAAAGAAGCTGAAGAGTCTCTATCCAGCACCACCCTCCTTCACCTGGCCGAGCTTGTTCTCATTCTAAACAACTTCTCCTTTTCCTGATCTGACTTCTCTCAGAGTTGAAGGTACTGCCATGGGTACCCACATGGCTCCCAGTTATACCTGTCTCTTTGTGGGGTATGTGGAACGTTCCTTGTTCCAGTCTTACTCGAGCCCCCATCCCAACTCTTTCTCTGGTATTTCAATGACGTCATCATTGCTGCTTCCTGCTCTCATCTGGAATTGGAAAAAAAGTAATCAGTTTTTGCTTCCAATTTACTTCCTTCGCTCAGATTGACCTGGTTTGTCTTTGACTTGTCCTTTCCTTGACTTGTCTGTTTCTGGAGATAGACTGGCCACTAATATTGACTAGAAACCCACTGACCTGCAATGTACATTGAATATCCTGCCTCACACACTGTTTCCTGTAAGGATACTATTCCATTCACCCAGGTTCTCTGTCCCTCTGTCTCTGTCTGTTCCAATGATGCCTGCTTCCACAAGGGCATTTCCAACATGTCTTTCTTTTCTCTCAGCCAAGGATTCCCGCCCGCCACAACTGATAGGGCCCTCAACCATGTCTCAACAATTTTCCACACTTCTGCCCTCACTCTTTCCCCTCCTTCCCTCACTGCCAGTCTCCACAATCAGAGGGTCACCTTCTGCCATTTCTGCCACTCCAGCAAGATGACACCATCAAACACACCTTCCAATCCGTCCCTTTTCAGCATTTTGCAGGGACCAGTCTCTGTGTGACACCCTGGTAAACTTCACTGTCATTTCCAGAGCAGGGGGTCAGACTGCTGAAGGATAGCTCAGGGTGGCAGCACATGGTTCGACGGGGAGTCTCTGTGCCATGACTGATTTGTCCCTAGTTGGGTACAAATGCTCTTGTGCCCTATTCCCCCACAGGCACCCAGGTGGAGTCAGGACACCATTAACCCTACTGCTACTCAAATTCAACTCTTTTTCCTCTGCTGATTGGACCATTTCAGGTGCCTGCTGACCCCAGACTGCAGTCTCACAGAATTCCCACGAAGGTTGTAGGATACCAGATGGGAAATACCGGAACTGGGATTGGTGAAAGCTGGAGTCCGTGAGTAACCCTAACCCGTTCACTCCGCCTTTGGGGAATGGGATCAGATGGCATCGGAGGGAATCACAAGGGTATCATACCTGGGAAGGTCTGCATCAGTGGTCGAGGTGTTGATGGGGATGAAAATCCGATCCCACTGTGTCTGGGTGGAGGGGCCGGATCTCATTCCGAGAGTGGGTCTGTTAGCAGGGGTTATATAGATGGGCTGTTCCTGAAGGTGTTGATGGAGTGACAGTTCTCTGAGGATGGAGGAGATGGGCATGGGATTTCTCTGGGAGAAGAGGTGCTGAGCTGATATGGTGTGACTGAATTGTCTCTGTGTTACAGGTACCGGGCACTGTATAACTACCATCCAGTGAATGCCGACGAGCTGGAACTGATGGAAGGTGACCTTGTCGATGTGATGGAGAAATGCGATGATGGCTGGTTTGTAGGTAAGTTCTGTGCTCCCACATATCAACATTCCGAGTTTATTGAGCCCGGTACCACAGCAGATTCAGGCCATTCACTTGGCCATTCCGTCTCTCCCTTGCAGGTACATCTCGTCGGACCAACAACTTCGGAACATTCCCTGGGAACTATGTGCGACCAGCATAATCTTCCTCATCAACAACAGAATCTTCATTACAGTCATCCAGGCCTGAATACACTCTCTCTCTCCCTCTTTGTCTTTCCTTCATTCTCACTCTGTCTTTCCTTGCTGTGTCACTTCCTCTGTCAGTCTCTCTCCCTTTAGCTTTCTGTCTCTCTTCCTTTTCCTCTTTCTCTGTCTGTCTCTCTCTCTCCTTCTCTGTCTCTCTCCCACACTCTGTCTCTTTCTGTCTGTATCTCTGTCTCTCCCTCCCTTTCTCTCTGTCTGTCTGTGTCTCTCTCCCTCTCCCACCTTTCTCTCTCTATCTCACCTTTCTCTATCTCCCCTACTCCTCTTTCTGTTTCTCTCAGTTTCTCTCTCCCTCACCCTCTCTGTCTCTCTCTCGCTCTCTTTCTCTGTCCATGTGTCTCTTTCTCTTTCTGTCTCACTGCTTCTTACTCTCTCTCACTCTCTTTCTCTTTCTCTCTGTCTCTCTCTCTCTGTCTGTCTATCTCTTGCGTTCTCTCTCTCTCTCTCTCTCTGTGTTTGTCGCTTTTAGATCAGGTAATCAGCCCGCTGAGACTTGAAACTGTCGTCCAACTGCTCCTTATGCCTCAGTGTGGACCCGAACCGGAACCAGATCTAAAAGGAGCTGGATCAACTGGTGGGACCTCCCAGATCCGATTGGAAGTGGGGCTCAGGACCAGGGTGGAGAGTCGGGGAGTGGTGCAGTGATTCAGAAAGAACTACACCTCTGCCAGCTGGAGTAACTGTGCTGCGAACAGGGTGCTGCAGAGTGTCCAGTGTGCAGGATCACCCTTCCGTTGCTCACCCTGGGATCATCCATAATGGGAATGGATGGTTACATGGGGATCCCCTCACGCAGTGAGACTGTTACCCATCAGAGTCAATACTCTGGTACAGCACACGTCCAGTCAACTCCATCCGGTTCTCCTGGACCTTCAGCAAAGGTTAGAAACCATGCTGATTTTGGATGGAGGACGTTCTGAACAGCCACAGAGCAGACCTTACCTGAGTCCAGACAGAGAGCCCCAGGCCGTGAGAGCCCCAGGCCGTGAGAGACCCAGACCATGAAAGTCTAGACTGTGTGAGTCCAGACTTGGGAAGCTGAGGTCAGCCCAGGCTGTGGGCTCTTTAGAAAGGGATGACACAGTCAGGCTGATAGGGACCGAGAGAAGTCATTGAGTGACCATGCAGATTCAAACAGCAAAATGCTGAGCAGACACTGCTGGAACACTGGCACAGGATGATCCCAGGCCATAGGAGCAGCTGGCCGTCCGTGTGGGAAAAGTTCCAGGCTGTAGTCTTTGGAAGGGGTCTGGCTGCTGAGCTTTTAGTCTGTCTCTGACTGTGTCTGAGCTGGTTCGTGAGCTCTGTGCTGTGGCTGACTTGCAGAATTGACTGCTAGAGCCTCGTAACTCCAGGAATGTGCTTAACTCGGTCTTTCATCTGTGTCGCTCTGTATTCATCATATATTTGTATAACCCTATTCTTTCCAATAAAACAAAAGATATCCAGATTCAGAAAGTCTTTCCTTTCAGGTGTAAGTTATTGGAAATGCCCACTCTATATAGGCTCACTGCCTCAGCACGTAGCATGCAGAAACTTGCATTTACCTCCCAAAGCTCCTTTTCACAGAGTGACCCAGCTCAACGTTCCTCCCAGTATGATATGATCCATCAAAGTCCAACAGATTCATAGAAGGAGAGATCAGGGGATCTAGTGAGAGGTTGCTTAGAATGGGCTGCTTTAAAGAGTGTCCTGAGGGAGGAGGATGTTGAAGTTTTCAATCCCCGTTATACTAATCTCTGCAGTGCTGCCATTTGAACCTGTGTCCCACAACATTAACATTAACATTGTCCTTGGAAATTATTGGTCCAGGCCATTAGCACCGTCCCACCATCTAAATCAATTGTTGAACCTGTTTCCACTACCTTTTCAAGTAGTGTGTAGCAAAAAAAAAACAACTATTTTGGTCAGCACGGACCAGTTTGGGCCAAAGGGCCTATCTCCGTGCTGTAGGACTCTATGATTCTATGGACTCACTGCATTTTTAAAAATATATTCTTCCCGTCTCCCCTCCATATCTGGTTAAAAATAAAACACCTGCCAGCTCTGATAAAGAGTCATCTAGACTCGAGACGTTAGCTTGCTGTCTTTCCATGGACGCTGCCTGACCTGCTGTGATTTCCAGCATTTTTTGTTTTTAATCCTGCCACAACTAACAGTTTCTTCCAAATTACCTTACACCGAACATTCGATCTCCTGTAAGCTTCTGTGCTGGATGGAGAACGGTGTCAGCTTGTCCAAGTATCAGAAGTCAGTCTTCTCACAACTTCTCCACAGTCTTGATATCCCACCTCAAATGTGATGCCCAGAATTCAATACAATACACCAGAGAAACCTAACCAGTGACAGACAACTTCCTTGCTTTGGTACCTCCAAAAGAATATTTTTGTTAACAGCCAGTTCAATTTGTTGTCGGCTTCAAAGATTTGTACACAGGTAGGCCCAAATTTCTCTTGTTCCTGCACCCCCTTTAGAATTGTACCTTTTCACTGATGTTGCCTTTCACTTATAGTTTTAACTCAATACCTCTGACTTGAACAGGGAGAGAGGGAGAGAGAGAGGCAAGATTAATCCAAAGTGTGTCTGCTGCCATAATGCAGAGAGGAGCCTGGAACAGGTAGAGGATTGGGTTAGAAGTCCCTGTGCTGGATCCCCTGCAGGATCTCAGGCTGTAAGAACTGACAGGATTGGTGAGTTACTCTTGACTGTCTGCATTTGTGTGTGTGTGGCTCATGGGGTCATTGTCCTGTACCTGACTCTGTGACCCTGAGGTGTTATCCACAGTCTGATGGAGGGAGTCAACCTTAACACTATAACTACCCCCTGACTGGGTACGTTCACTCCCTGACCTCTGAGCTTGCACTCTAACCTCTCCATCAAATGATCGTGGAGAATTGAGAATTTTGAACAGAAAAGAATGGTTGACAATTCTGAGGGTGTGCTGCACTGTCAGGGGTACTGTTGAACACTTAAACCTGTCTGCACCAGCTCTTAGGTAAATCTAAAATATCCCAGGCCCACAAATGGAAGCAGAGGAGGGCCATTCTCCTGTGTGGTCTATGTATCTGGCCTTCAATCAACATGATTTAAGCAGTTTCGTATGACATTGGAATTGCATTGTCTGTTTAGCAGTTTGGGAAGGGTGCCCTACAAATATTTTCCTTTCAATAAAAGACAAAGACAGTCACTCTCAGGATTCATGCTCAGCGTCATGTGTGTTCCTTTGCCAAGACAACTTGTTTGAGAAGAGCTCCCAAATAAGCTGCAGAGGGTGACAGATGGGTCTGTGGGAGAGTGCACAGTGAAGTTTGCACTTTCGAAATTTCTAGACTATGGAGACAGTAGGAAATGTTTACTTTCAGACAGACCTGTGTTTCTTTGTAGCTGATCATAGTGTTATAAAACAAAATGCTGGAAAAAAAACACAGCAGGTCTGGCAGCATCAGTGGAACACATTTGACTCTTCTCCAGACTCATGTAATTGTGTGTACAGCAGGCAGTTAGAAAGGCAAAGGGTACTTTGTTTTTAAAACAAGAACATTAGAATATAGGAAGACAGAGATCTCGCTCCATGCCTTATTTGCCTAAGGAAGGTCACACTTGCCCCAGAGGCAGTACAGAAAAGGTTCACTTTGCTGCTGCCTTGACTGACAGATTGTTTTTTCAAAGAGATTGAGTAGGTAAGGCCAGTATTCCCTGGAGGTTAGAAAAATAGGAGGGATCTCCACAACAGAAAATTCTCAGGAGCTTGTCAGGATAGATGCTGGAAAAAAATGTTTCCTGGCTGTTTCCAGACTGTCATAAAAATAAACCCCCTCAGAAAGTGGCAAATCTTTGGAATTCTCAAACTCGGCCAGCTACGGGTGATCAGTTGTTGATTATATTCAAGTCTCAGTTGTTAGACTTTTGGGTATAAAAGGGGTTGAGGTGATTGGGGAAGGTGTGGAAGGTGCAGTCAGGTTGATGATTTCTCTCAGTCTTGTAGGAATTCAAATCCTATGACAATCCTTTGAGAATTACCCTGTGGGATGGTGTCAAAATCAGATTGGCTCAATGATATCGTTGAGGAAGGAAAGCTGCCCTCCCAGCATAAAATGCAACTCAATGACACTGACTTTTCGCTGACTCTTTGGTGAACTTTCAGTTGTATCAAACCTGCTCTGAGCGGTTCAAAAAGGCACCTCTCCAACACCGTCACCTCTGTAGGACATCTAGCATTGGGCAATAAATCCTTGTCGTGCCAGAAACAAATAATGAAGCAGGTAGGAACCCCCTTGCACTATCCCAGCCCTGCAACAATCATCCTGAATAAGGGGAGTGATCCCTGTTTCTACTCCATCTTCAGTCAATATGTGTGAAAATTACAGCATCTGGGAGAGGTTCTGCATTACTCATGCCCCAGTCCAGATCACCAGTAAAGGAGAAGCTGATTCCGTTCCGAGAGGATGTGGTCAAACTGCAGTGACAGAATTGTGGTGATCGTCACCGAGACTCTCAGCCTCTTCTGAACACAGAGCACAGAGTTTCCTTCCTCTTCAATCTGTGAATTTCTCCATTTCCTCTGCCCCGCTTCTAGCTTTCTGCTTCTCTGACTGAACATGGCAGCGGGAGGGACAAAGAACAATCAGAAGGTGCAGCAAACTTGCATTTGGATAGCACCACTGGTTGCATGAAATAGTGCTCCTCACACCACCATTGCTCCTTTTGATGATTGCATTGAATCTGTGTTGTGTGGTTCTTGATCTTCCAGCAATGGAGACAGCTTGTCCATGTCCCCTCTGCTCACACATATCTTGATTTTGAACCACTCAATTGAGTCTGGTGTCGTACTTCAGAATCAGGAATGTTCACCAGGCCAGAACTGGAAGAGAGTCAAAATCTCTGAAGGTTGCAGGTCTGGTATCAGATACAGAGGCAGGGAGGGGAGAGGCCAAGAAAGAATTTGAAAAGTATGATGACTATTTTAAAAATCAAGGTGTTGTAATCAGTGTAGGTCAGTGAACACACAGGGTGATCAGGAAAGGTGATTTGCTGTGAATTAAGACACAGATAACAGAGTTCACGATGAGTCAAGATGACAGAGAGGACAGCATGTCAGGGACCTGGCATCGAAATAGTTTGAGTGAAGATGTAGAATACGGGACTCAGCAGAAACTGGGGGAGCTGAAAGACCATGGTAAACAATGTGACAGAGGGGGAAATACAAGGAGCTAACTCTGGTGGAGACGGTGAGACATTCCTAGTCCTCCTTAACTCCTCCCTGAGCTTGACCCTCAGCTCTTTCCAGGTAGGTCAATACTTCACCTGATGGAGGAGCAGTGCTTTGAAAGCTTGTGATTTCAAATAAAGCTGTTGGACTGCAGGGTCTAGGCCCGAAATGTCAGCCTTCCTGCTCCTCTGATGCTGCTTGGCCTGCTGTGTTCATCCAGCTCTACACCTTATCTCAGATTCTCCAGCATCTGCAGTTCCTACTATTGGTGTATGACTCCTGACAGGTACATCAGTGACCACCAGCATCAGTCTTACTTCCTGCTCTCACCCAAACCATTGCATTCCATCAACTTTGTCTCAATGTCTACACTGCCTTCACCTTCAAAGGTTCCATTTATGATTCCTCCCTTCCCTTCCTTCACTCCTCTACCTCCAATTCTGAAGAGACACGCAGGACTGTTCTCAGCCACTAAAAGCCGGCCGCATTAGCTTTGTCAACGGCAGCTTCTGGTATGGCCAATTCTGCTGTTTGTATTTAGCCCCCACCTCGAAACTCCTCTTGTTTCTTACATTGTCCTATTGCCATCACGGCCCACACCATCGTCCTTTTTGGAATTTCATCTTCTCTGCCTCACATCTTGTCACAGACCACCCCCCTCTTGTGCTTCCTAGTTCTGAGGACATGTCCACGGTCAAAAGTGTTTACTTTGTTTCCCTCTCTCTCTCCATGGACAAAGCTTGACCTATTGACAGCACTTTCTGTTTTTAGCTCTGACAACATGCATGATTCCCCCAAAGTTTATTTGTAATTGGCTCCTGGAATGTGTGCGTGGAACTGGCAAAGCCACATTCATTGCCCCTCCCTAATTGCCCGAGGGCATCAGGAAGGAGTTGGGTACGCTGTGTGACACCGGAGCAGGGGGTCCTATGGAAACCAGTTGGCTTTTACAGCAATGTTATCGGGAAGCAATCTGTGACTGAGCAGGAGGGCTATATAATTCAATTTTACAACCTTCCTGACCGAGATCAGAGTCTGCTCGGCATTTTGAGGGTGGGGACGAGGATCTCTGTGTACTGGGAGCTGCTCACAATTTGCATTGAACTGACTCTGGCCCTCAGCACTCCTGCTTTTTTCAAGCTGCTGCCATCCGCAATGAGAAATGAACAAAACCTCTCCCCAAATGCTAAACACCCAGAGGCTGGTGGAGAGGCTTTGAGCAGGCTGAAGGAAATCCATCTTCGATGGGCTGAATGGCATAGTTATGCTCCATAAGTGAGTAAGTGAGTGAGAGAGAGAGCTGTCTGGATTGAGTTGATAACAGAGACAGGGAGGGGGAGAGACAGTCAAGGGATTTCATCACCAGAGTGAACATTTAAGAATTGTCGAATAGGAACCAAGGAATTGACTTCTGGTTTTTAGGTAATTTATGATGAAGCAACATTTTGGGTTTTGTGAAGGTGTTCCACCAACAACAGACACCCTGCAGCCCACGGCTTTGGCTCAGGAACAAGTCCAGTGGTTGCTTTACATTCACTTCCCTCTCAACTTTCCTTCAATGGAGGGCTATTTGACTGCGTACGGCAGCACAGTTGAGCCGCAACAGTCCCCGTTGCCTCTGCCTGGCGGGTTCTGTCTCTCCCTGAATCAGTGAGCAGTGGCTATGTACATTAAACCTAGGCTGGGAGCAGAGCCAGCAGATTTGGGAGGAGCCGGATTTCTAATGAAGGTGAGCAGCAGGAGAGAGAGAGAGAGGGAAGGGTGGAGCCCGAGGTTTAAGGGGCGGGCGCCCGGGCTGATGGTGTGTAGCCGCACAGAGAGATGTCTCGGACGGTGAAACTGTGTGGTCCCGGACCCTGGGGATTCCGCATTACCGGCGGGAGAGACTTTCACAAAACCATCGCTGTCTCTAAGGTGAGTGCCCGGGGCCGCAATCCCTAGCTGGCCAACTCTGCTAGAACGTCCGCTACAGCGCGAATCCGGCAGGGAGTCACGTTTGCTGCCTTTGCGTAGCGCCTAGCTCCGCCTGTGCTTCGTGTGGCCCAGCGCTGAAAGCAGGAATCTTCCTGGAAAAAAAAAGAGCTGTACGAGTGGAAATGGGAACTGTTTGGACTGGGAAAGGTTAACGCTTCCTCTGGTGTTGACACGGCCACCTTCTCTGAGCCAGGAGCTGACGAGCAATGCAATGTCTGTGGGGTACTTTTTCTGTGAGAGCTCACACATACACAGCTTTCCAGATTTCAGTCCTTCAGTTTCCAAACACTCCCCCCTGGTCCTCCCATTCGCTCTGTCAGCCCCCCCACCCACCTTATCTCTTCACCACCCCCCCCATGGTCTCTGCTTCCCTCACCCACATCCCCACCCTTAACGACAAACTCCATCTCTCTCGCCTGCCTTTAAGAGGTAGGAATCCTTTAGCGAGTAACTCATCTCCTGACTCCCAAAAGCCTGTCCACCATCTACAAGTCAGGAGTGTGATGGAATACCCCCCACTTGCCTTGGATGGGGGCAGCTCCAACATTACTCAAGAAACTTGACACCATCCAGGACAAAGCAGCCCCTGCTCAATTGGCACCACATCCACAAGCATCCCACTGCCTCCCCCACCGACGCTCAGTAGCAGCAGTGTGTACCATTTACAAGATGCACTGCAGAAATTCACCAAAAATCCTTAGACAGCACCTTACAAACTCTCAACCACTTCGATCTAAAAGGACAAGGACAGCAGATACATGGGAACACCACTACCTGCAAGTTCCCCGTCAAGCCACTCACTGTCCTGACTTGGAAATATACCAACATTCCTTCATTGTTGTTAGGTTAAAATCCTGGAATTCCCTCCCTAAGGGCATTGTGGGTCAACCCACAGCAGGAGGAATGCAATGGTTCAAGAAGGCAGCTCAACCCCACCTTCTCAAGGGCAACTCGGGACGGGTGATAAATGCTGGGCCCAGCCAGTGATATCCACCTCTCAAATTTAAAGCAAAAGAGATCAATGAAGTTGAGATAACAAGGTGTAGAGCTGGATGAACACAGCAGGCCAAGCAGCATCAGGGACACCAGACCATAGTAGGAGTGGGAGCTTTGACATTGGACTGTAGGGTCAGAGAGTACAAGTACACGCCAGGAGATAGCAGCTCAAGCCTTGAGGCCTGTGCAGATGGAGTCAATAGGAATTATTCCTGGACAGCCTTGAACGTTCTTGCCTAGTCATATGTCAAATACTTTTCCAATCTCTCCCTCCATCATCCCCTGTGCTGAAAGGCTTCTTCATTTTTCCCCTTGGTTTTCAAGGAGGAATCTTTAGGTGCCTTCTGTTTGCTGAGTCACGAAACAATAGGAGTAGTGCCTCCTGCCCATGCCTTTCTGATGCAGTGAAAGACCAGGATTAACCCTTGTTCTAACAGGATTCTCACAATCCTATTCCACTGGGGCCTCATTGAGGCTTTGTCCATATCCACTGTCTGTTCCTGTCCATGTGAGTTCTCTCTGTGTCACTGCTCAGTGTTGGAGTTGGTCAGCTGTTTATTTGGGGTTTGTGATTGAGTGTCCTGGCCCAATCCTCAGTAGAAGTGACCTGTCTGGGTTACAGGATTGTCCATCTCTAGTCTCCTCCCAGTAAGTACAGGTGCTGGCTTATTTTTTCCAATGTGCTGGCATTGAGTGTTGAGCTGGAGCTTGTGATGATGGGTGCTTCTTGCTAATGAGCGTGTTGCTGGGGTTTACTTGCTATATTCTGTCTCCTTTCTCATTCCTGTTTGCACATGTTCTCTGCAACTTCCAAATCAGCTGGACATTAAATGTCACGCTCTGGATTTTCCCCTATCACTGGATTGGTAGGCAAAGTGATTAGTCTGTTAGCCGGTCAGTTCCACAACCTTTTCCTCCTCTGAGGCTCCAAACAAGGAAAAGTGGTGGGAGCTTTGTCGAAACCTAACTCCCCATCTCGCCACCCCGCCAACCCCGGTGATGCCTGGTCCTGCCCTGACCGGAAATTAAATTAAATCAAACACTCCCAGGACAAGGACAGTGCAGGAGTAAAGCTCCCTCTACACTCCCCATGAAACAGTCCCAAGATGTGGGCATCCTTCCTAAAGCTCATTCAGAGGGCAGTTAAAAATTAATCGCAGGATGCAGAGGGGGCAAGGATGGAAGCTTTTCTTCCCTCGCGGATGTGAATCGATTTGTCGGTTCTTACAGCACTCTGATGTTTTCCTGATGGTGGAACTTATAGAGATAGCAGGAACTGCAGATGCTGAAGAATCTGAGATAACAAGGTGTAAAGCTGGATGACCACAGCAGGCCAAGTAGCATCAGAGGAGCAGGAAAGCTGACGTTTTTGACGTTTCTGAAGAAGGGTCTTGGCCTGAAACGTCAGCTTTTCTGCTCCTCTGATGCTGCTTGGCCTGCTGTGTTCATCCAGCTCTACAACTTGTTATCTCAGTGGAACTTATAAGTAGGTTTTCAGTGTCCCTGTGATCCCAGGAGAGGGTAGTGATGGGGTTACTCGGAGGAGAAGTAGGAAGGTCATGTTGATGTTATGGTGCAGTAAGACTGAGGTTATAGATTGTTTGATTGGATAGCAGTATTTCAGTGTCAGTGCGCAATGAGAGATTGTCAGCCTTCCTTCTCTGGGCAGACAATACAAAAGTAGGACATTTGCTGTGTGCAAAAGAAAGTGGGACAGACACTGGCTAGACCTAATCTGGGGAGTGGTGACCTGTCAAAGGCAGCAGATACATGAGGTCTTTGAAGGGGTTTCCCTCAAATGGAGCTGGAACTGAGTGATTACACAGATGTGGAGGCCTGGGGAAATTGGTTGGAGTCGGGGGGATTGACAAGAATGAGGAGAGATTTAACTGAGAGTTCTTCAGTCAGGATTTTTTCGAGCTGGATGCTGTGCTGCGCTATGCAGTGTGACAGGACCGGACCACATGTTGCCCCACTAGTGGTTCCAGCTGAGCTCTCGTACTGCTGCCCTGCCCTCTCTGAAGCCACATTAGCTGTCAGTGTTTATCTCTAATTCATTCCCAGAAAGTGGGTGTAACTAGCAGAACTGCATTCATTAACCCTCTCCCTGTACTAGCCCTGAAGGCATCAGGAGCCAGTGGCCTGGGACTGTATGGGGATTGCAGTCACATGTTCACAGCTTCAAAATCTCCCCTTCCCCTACCGCATCCCAAAACCAGTCCAGCTCGTCCCCGCCTCCCTAACCTGTTCTTCCTCCCACCTATCCCCTCCTCCCACCTCAAGCCGCAACCTCATCCCGCCCCCTTGACCTGTCCGTCCTCCCTGGACTGACCTATCCCCTCCCTAACTCCCCACCTACACTCACCTTTACTGGCTCCATCCCCGCCTCTTTGACCTGTTTGTTTCCTCTCCTCTATCCATCTTCAATCTGCCCCCCACTCTCTCCCTATTTATTTCAGAACCCCTTTCCCCTCCCCCTTTTCTGATGAAGGGTCTAGGCCTGAAACGTCAGCCTTTCTGCTCCTATGATGCTGCTTGGCCTGCTGTGTTCATCCAGCCCTGCACCTTGTTGTCTCGGATTCTCCAGCATCTGCAGTTCCTACTATCTCTGTTCACAGCAGTTGGAGTTACAATACCCGCTGGGTTTTAACAGCAGTTTCATTGGTTCACAATCATGACATTTTCATTTGCTCATGTACTGGGATGTGGTTAAACTCAAGACCTAGAGATGACAAGCTCATAACCAGAGTCCATCAGAACCCTCGACACCATTGACCTTTGATAGCATTTTCGCCCATCCCTTTCCATCCCTCGTTTCACCCGCTCCCCCCCACCCTCTCTTCCCCCTCTCTCTTTCTCTCTCTCTTGTTTTCTCTTCCTTTCTCTCTCTCTCTCTCGTTCTCTCTTCCTGTCTGTCTGCCTTTGTCACTTCCTCTGTCTTTCAGCTGTCCCTCCATCACTTGTCTGTCTCTGCTTTCACATTCTGTTTTGATCACTTACTCACTCACTCACTCACTCACC